TAATAGAAGAATCAGAATTTTATAAGCTAAGTTGTGCGTAGTTTCAGAAATTGATATTTACAGACAAACAAGCATATTTACGTCTGTAGAATGATAGCAAAAGTTTGTTTAGCTACCGATAAATCTATTTGTAATGCTAAGTGACTGTTCTCCTATCGAAAAACACATTAACGACTGACAAACTCTACAATTTACAACAGACAAGAAAGAGAGCTATTTTCTTATTAAATTTTCAGTGCCAATTTTATTTTTCAAAAGATTTTCTTATTCTTTTATAATCTAACTAACTCTGACTGTTAAATAAAGAAATTTTGTAAGTATTTAATATTGATAATTCTAAGGACCGTACCGTATCACGTTAAATCTGAGCCTTCTTTCCCCACCTGTATTGTATAAGAGAGCCGAATGAAGCCACAAAAAGACGATCAATCATCAATTGATTTAGAAACTGAAAACTGGGACGTCGTGATTGGACTGTGAACTCCTGGAGCATTGTGCATGGATTTTATTTCTGAGGCCTCGATTCTACTACGTGCCATAAATACAAAAGTAGCTGTCAGTTTTACTTTTAGGACATTTTTGCGCTCTCTCTCAAACTATAAGCAGTTTTGTTCCATTATTTAGTTTTAACATGTCCAAGGAGCACTACAGCAGGACAATCCACACTCACCTTCAAGACCAAGTAAGATATCGTTCGTGGCGTTTCATTCGTTTAGTGAACTTTTTAGTTTTAGTAATTAACCACTCATTTTGTTGAATAAATAAAATAAAAAGATAGCTTTGAAAAAGGACGTTACTGGTTACTGGTTGTACAAAAACAATATGACATTACCTGTAATCTGTTTTGTTTTCCAAATAAATAAAATAAAATTACCTAAAAATAGGAAAATACTTATTTAATAACAGACAACCTAATTGCATTCTACCACTTAGTTAGCATGTCATATCATGTTATTTACGGAACAAAAAATCATGTAAATAAACCAGTCACAAAGTTCGTCGACATAGTTCGCATAATTTGGGGTTAGCTTTAATTGGTGCAATTATCTAAAAATAGCTTAAAAATACCTCAAGGTTCCAAAGATTACTTACAAACATACAATTTGTACCGTTTTCATGAGACATACAACCGTTTATATCTGATACATAGGTATGGTAGAGATCGCATAGCATGCATGTGTTCTGGTATCCTACTAATATTATAAATGCGAAAGTTTGTGTGGATGTTTGTTACTCTTTCACGCAAAAACTACTGAACGGATTTTGATGAAACTTTACAGTATTATTGTTTATAACCCAGAATAACATATAGGCTAAAATGTATGACGATCTGTGACAAACAAAACTTCACGCGGGTGAAACCACGGGCAAAAGCTAGTTTTGTATAATTTCTACAAGTCATCCTCTTAATGACATGCATTAGTACATTAAGATTAATGCTGTGTCACGATGATTTACGTAAAGTAACGAACTGATAAAATAAATAATTTGCTACATATTGTTATGATTTATTTATGATACCAACGCATCAAACAAATACACCGATATTTTTGATAAGAATGTCTCTATGTGTATAATTATCTCAGGAAAATAAAAACAATATACAAAATGAGAAATAAAGAAATACACAAGAGACGACTTTTGCACGAATTGCACGATATGCAATTTAGACGGTCTTATCGCTTTAAAGCCATATCTACCACACAACCTAGGAGAGGGAGTTGTTTAAAATAAGTAAGATTATGCCAAGACAATTTATAATGTTTTCTGATGATAGTCAGTCAACGTTTATTCCTGAACATCAATCGTGTCGAAAACTATCTCTCTCACTCTCATCCGGACATGTTTGACTTAACTGATTTTATTTTAAGAAAGAAAGAAAGAAAGAAAGAAAGAAAGAAACATTTATTGCCATGGACATCACAGAAGACAAAAGATGTAAATAATAGAAAAAAAAGTAAATAAGACATAGGTGACATAAAATAAAACATACAATGAAAGTGAAAGTAAAACTGAGCAGTGCCACCCTGTCGCACAGCGATGTCCATCGCAATGGGACCCCACTCAGCATATGCCATGGCCCCCGGTGAGGGAGGCCACGACGCTGGTTTTCAGTGTGCCCCATGCCGAGTGGGAGTCACGGACACTAACCTATACTGCATAAAATATACATACATAAATAATAATAATAGTGCGCGTATAAATTTTAAGTGTAAGTACAGTATAATATTATTATAAAGAAAAGATGTAATAAGATATTATAAATAAAACGATAATATTTGAAAAACAAAACTGTGTGGGTGTACATAATAAATAAATTGTAATGTAATAAAGTGTTTGTGTATACAGTGATTGTGTGTGTCTCGACGACCACAAAACCGTCACGTGCGATCGAACCATTTTGCGTGGTTGTGTCTATTCTATTTTACTTGCAACCAACGACAGCAATAGAGTATCAATTAATAAATAAGTAAATACAATACTCGTAACACGTGTATTGTACGAGTAAGAGACCGATAATTTCCTCTTCATAGGCTAGGAACTCACGGCGCGATTTTCACCCGCGCTCGCGGCGGTTGAGGAATTGCGGTTTTCTTTCAAAACTCACGGAGCGGTTATTTGCGCGGTTATTCTAAGAACTCATTCTAAGAACGTGAGTTAAGTCACTGGTACAAAATGGTCACCCGTCCGCATACAACCGCGCCCGCTGCGGGCGAAAACCGCGTCGTGAGTTGTGCATTAGTTTTTACATAAATATCTGCATTCTACAGAAGCTGCGGGCCCGCAACCGCCGCGGGCGCGGGTGAAAATCGCGCCATGAGTTCTTAGCCTTAGTCTTCATAGAGTCTTCACTTATCTTATCTTTATAAGTCAGTGGTGTATCATCAACAAAATCACACCATGTTACATTGATCTATCCGCCAAGGCTTGCCTTTGATAACTTTTTGAACTTGGCACTGTACATAGATTCTATTGTTGATATCTAGTACTCACATAATAATAAGCAAACAATTTTTAAAAAGACATTTTATCTAGAATTTAATTAGTTAATGTATCAATTACTTAATAGTAACATTAAGTAAACGCTTAAGCAGTAAGTGCCATTCAATTTCATTATGACTACTCTTTGTTATTATTATGAACTTTAACGAGTTTACTTATCATTTCGTTAATTATAATCAGCGACGATAGAAGAGGTCACGCTTGGGCCAACTCTCATATAAATACTACAACTCGGCACAAATCTGCCAGTCACACCGCGAACCGTATAGACACAAACATGTTTTTGTTTCTATTGTTAATAGGCTTGGGCCTAAGCGCATTCCTCGTGTATTTACGAGGAAAGTACAATGAAATGTACTGGACAAAACGCGGAGTGAGATTCCACGGGAAAAACAAATTTATGGGCATCTTCTGGGACTTCATCACGCAAAATCGACCGCTGTTCCAGATTTGTCACGATCTTTACCTGCAATACCCAAAGGAGCGTGTTGTTGCCTTCGGATCTTTCTTCACGCCGTCGCTGTACATTAGGGACAAGAACAATGTACAGTTTATAATGCAATCCACCAGCTTCATAGACAGGGGAGTCGATTACAACGATGGAGACCAGCTCGCTGACAATGTTCTCTTCATGAGTGGCATCAGATGGAAGCTAATGAGACAGAAAATGACGCCACTCTTCACACCATCTAAGCTCAAGAATATGTATTACATTATGGACAAAAGTGCTCGTGACTTCGTCGAGTACTTAGAAAAGTATCCGGAGAAAAGGAAAGGAAACTCATTCGACACGTTGACGACCTTCTGCTGTGCTGCCATAGGTGGAGCTGTTTTCGGAATAGGATCAAAGTCAACGTTTGAGTCGCCCTTTTTAGAATGCACTAGAGGAGCATTTTATCCAACCTTCTGGAGTAATATTAAGTTTTCACTGGCGAATCTATCTCCAGGGCTCTTCAAGTTATTCAAGCTCAAATTCTTCAGCGAATACGAGAATTTCTTCATTGGTGCAATGAAGCAGGTATTCAGACAGAGGGAACAGGAGGGCAACAAAAAGCACGACTTTGCTGACATCTGTCTGAGTATTCAGAAAAGTGGTGACATAAAACATGACGAATCTGGCTTCAAGATGGCACCAACCGATGAGTTGCTGGCAGCACAAGGATTTTTCTTCTTCACCGCTGGTGTGGAACCCGCGGCAACTGGCGTATTTGGAGCCCTAATTGAAATGGGAAGACATCCAGAAATTCAAAAGAAGGTGCAAGAAGAAATCGACAGCGTATTTGAAAAGTATCAAGATAATTTGACAGCCGATGCCGTAGGAGAAATGGAGTATCTTGAGAAAGTGTTGAGTGAATCTTTACGAGTTCATCCTCCTATTGGTTTCCTGACAAGGCGTTGTATTGAAGATACAGTTCTTCCAGATGGGAATATCAGAATTGAGAAGGGAACACGAGTGTACACTCCTATTTATGAATTCCACCATGATCCTGAATACTTTAAGGATCCTGAAGTTTTCGATCCAGAGAGGTTTACAGATGAAGCAAAGCAAGAAATGGGAGTGACATACCAGCCTTTTGGGTATGGTCACAGAGCGTGCATTGGGGCTAGATATGCAAAGCTCCAGGTGAAGAGTGGACTTGCACACATATTAAGGAACTTCAATATTAAAACTATAATTCACGAGGGCGGTATCAAATACGGAAAAGACCAAGTGCAACTGAGAATGAAGAACGTAGACGTGGAGTATATTCCTCGAAAAGTGAAATCATCCTAAGCAGGAGTAATTTTAAAGATTTTTTTTTTATTGTTTGAAGTGAACTGACTGAAGGTTGATTATTTTTACTTGTACATAACTTGGCTTAAGTATCAATGTGTAATTATATTATTCATTTTGAAATATAATACTTACTCGTAGAATGTTTTTTTTTTCTTATTTCCTTTTAATATTTACCTACTCTTATAAAGTACACAATAAATAATATCTTTGAACCTTAAACAGATCCAGAATCAAATGAACGATAAGTTATCATGAAAAGTTAGAAATTTGTTATTTATTTAGCGTAAAAACTTGTATGTATTATGTATAAACAATACAATGTTGCAATGCCCTTACATGGCTTATGTTTAAGACTGAAATTTGATTTAACATCTAATTTGTATGTACCAATATGATGCAATAAATAATTACAAGTAGATATTACCATCATTGTATTTGCAAGCTATACATGCAAACTAGTAACATTAAATACATATATTCGTCTAAGAAGCATTTCTTTCAATGGCTTGAAACAATATCTCAGTCCGATTCACACACTTTTGAGTAAACATGTGTTTGAAACAGGATGTATTTGACATACAAATATTGACACTCAATATGCACACAACAGACTCTCTCAAATGGCACGCAAACTTAGTGGAAGAAGGTGCATTGGTTTAACTAGAGAATCTTGATTTTTTTGTTGGTAAGTACTTTTCTATTTTTTAACTACAATTATTACCTATTTAAAAACAATATTTATTTACTGCAGTGTTTCCCTTTTTTAAAACTCTATGTTGTTTAAAAATTACGTGCGTTTGAAAACGTTAGAACACGACTTGATGATAATAATATGGCTCTTGGACTACAATACAAACTAATTAATGTAGACACTTCTTACTTAGACTACCCGTATTCACAAACATTACTATGAGGTCTCACAGTGCGCGTGGATGCACAGGGTGACACACGAACCAATCACAGAGGTTTATTCAATGCTGTGCGTTCGATTCGCTGCTTCACTTAAGCAAGCATCGTTTGTGAATACGGGCGGTACTTGTTTTAATCTGCGTGTGCGTGCTTTCTATGTATTTTTTGTTAAATGTGTGTTTTGTGTGCGTAATATACTAAGGTCTGGGTTCGATTCCCGGTGAACTGGGCGTGGGCACATAAAATGTTATAGTTCCATATTTCAAGACCGTTTTGTGTCAACACATATAGATACCTTGCTGGATTTCCTGGTACTAAAACTGACCATAAAATTGGATGATTTACAGGCATTTCATTCTGAAAATGGATTTCAGTCATACGTATCTCCTGTGCTTATTCTTCATAAACATTGAATGTAAGTATTATAATGTTATTTCTCTATGTTATCAAATCATTTAGGTATTGCTCATCATCACCATTTCAGCCACTACTGAACTTTGGCCTCCCCCAATGATTTCCACATCGCCCGGTTGGTAGCGGCCTGCATCCAACGCCTTCATATTCCGCAAAATTATAGAAAACTCAACACAGTGACTAGATTAGCTTGAAGTTTCTTCATAATTTTTACATCCTATCTATTAATTAAACCTCGCAAGAGACCACGGTTATTATACTTATGTAGATTGTTCTACTAAATTACAGATTTGAGTCCGTAACTTCCTTCATAAAATCACGTTAGAGTCACGTGCTATTTAACTATCCAGTAGACACTACATTTTTAACGTACTAGAGCATTAGATAATGAATAATTAATGATGCTATTATCCTTTTTAAAATATCTATAAAAGAAAAATATAAATCCTTAATTACATACAATTACTTTTTAATTTCTTGTCATGAATATATCTATTGCAAATATGGTGTTAAAAAATTAATGACATTTGTATCCATATTAAGCACGGCTAGATGGGGACGTGTTTGCCCACGGGTTTCAGTATTAATTTGCACGTAATCTGCAGTATCTGTAATCTGTAAGGGAAGGGTGTAAAAGTCGCCCTGCCATCAGATTTTATCATGCTTAGGCGACAGCGCACACTGGGCACCAATCTCGACGACTAGATGCCGCGATTTGTCAATCCATACTAATATTATAAATGCGAAATTAACTCTGTCTGTCTGTCTGTCTTGCTTTCACGCCTAAACCACTGAATCGATTTTGATGAAATTTGGCATAGAGATAGTTTGAGTCCTGGGAAAGGACATAGGATAGTTTTTATCCCGGTTTTTGATACAGGGACGCGCGCGATAAAGTTTTTCTGTGACAGATAAAATTGCACGCGGGCGAAGCCGCGGGCGGAAAGCTAGATTCATATAATTTTTTTATACCTAATGTAAGACAAGGCAAGTATTTGACCGCAATCGCACCTGGTGTTAAGTGAGATGCAGTCTAGGATGGTACATTATCTGCCCTGTAATGCTGTAATTAGCTTGTCGTCGAGAAGACAGCTGCTAAAATATGAAATTGACAAGTCGCCCAGTGTGCGCTGTCGCTAAAGGTCGTAATAATACGAGTAACAAGTGGAAACAGCCGAGCACATCATTAGTATTAATACGACTTTTAAAGTACTCAAAATTGCCTCTTCTTCTTCTGGTCGTGTTCGACCTAAGGTAATTTAGTAAAATTGCCACAACTGAAGACAAGTGTGACATGACGTGATAAGCGTCCAGTGTGCCTTCCAAAGCACGTAATCGTATTTCTTTTTACCGACTTCAAAAAAGATGCCCATCATGACATGAGAACAAATTAATTTTGTGTTGTCTCATCATGCTTATGCCTGTTAACTACTTAGCTAGTACTTTCAGACAATCAAGTTTAATTATCGTATTGTTTCAGCGTCATCTGGCCAGTTCATGCCAGCTATGAGGAAAACTAACAAATCAAGTTCATGCGACGGCACCAGTAAAACTGCACTAGTAGAACACTTCTTCAACGTGATATTCACAGAGTTCCACAACAACCCACCAGTGTGTGTCTGTGTCCAAATGTGCAATGATCAACCTACTTACTGCTACCCAAATGGATGCCTGAAGAAAGTAGACAATAAGAAGAAAACCCCTGAAGAGAACAGACCGGCTGCTCCGGTGAATGTCCAGAACGACGATATAGCGAAGACAATGTTCTTGGTCGAAAATGACTTTAGCCGTTTATTGAATGAAAATTATGAAAACAACAAAAATGGTAAGTACAAATGAAATGTTATTCAGACTAATTTAAAATCTTAATTAAATTAAATCAACCAATCAGCATTTAGTCACACTCAAATTATAGACAACTAAAAACAAATCGCTTAATTAAATTTTTCATGAGTATACTCTGACACAGAGAGTAACATATTCAGCAATAGTGAAGTTACTAAAATTTCTAGAGAGCACTATTTTGAGAGACGTTTAAAAACATCCCTTCTTAATTTTTCAGCACAAACAGAAAGGTCTTCCGTGAAAGACATGCGTCCAGACCCTTTCAAAGATAGATACAAATCGCTATTCAAATACAAGAAAATGCCCAAAGTTGAACTAAGGTACAACTTACGAGAACAAGTAAAGAATATGAAGTCTGACATACTCAAGGTGGAAACTCAAGACGTGTCTAAAACGAGATGGCCAAAAACTAACCACATGGTGCTTCGTGAACAACAAACTTATAACCTAGGTGATAAATCTAATGAACCAAAATCTACTGATATTGGATCAAACAAATTCTTTATTCAAGGACCTAGTATCGAAAGAGATCTGTATTCTCCAAAGTTCTTTAAAAGAGATCTAAGAAGGAACCTCAAAGATGATATCGATGTTCAATCCGAGTATTTGACGGAATTGCCGGACCCTTTGGAACCAAAAACCTTTTCATTAGAGACGTTGATAGATAATTTAATAGGAAACAATTTTGCAAGAAAACCCGACGGTGAAATAGAATTCAAAGAACCTCATAATGACTCGCAAACAATTAGTCAAATTATAACAACTACAGAAAATACAATCAATGATACTAATACAACAAAAGACAATAAAGAAATTACTTGTGTTGTTTCTTTGAACATGACTAATGAGAATGTAGATGAAAACAAATACGAAGAAAGTCCTATCATTAAGAAACATTTAGACAAATGGAAAAATTACACATTTAACGAAATGATAGCTGCTCTGTCTAAACGAATTGAAAAACAAAATAATACTAGTTTACAAATAATGAAAGATGCTTCCAAAGATAATATTGAGGTAACAATTACCGGGCCTATGGATAATTTGAAAGATAAAGATAATTTAAACGTCATAGAAGATACAAATATGAAAAAAGCTACAAATAGCACACAGAAGATTACATCAACTACTGATAGCAATAACGAAGAAAAACAAACGGCAACAGTGATGAAGTAGAGAAAAGGAGAGGAAACTGATTACGCTTGAAAGATTGCCGTGTGATCATTACTATTAAGTAGCTTAATATTTACTATTAGTCTAATAAGAGTGTGAGGAGATAATAAAATTTAAGAAAATAAAATTTTACTTGACTTGTACATACGAGTATTTTTTACAATGTTCCTAGTTTACAATTAGATGCTCTCGGTAAGGCGAACTCCACAGAAAATGTTTGTCTTTGAATCTTACTTTTTCCTTTGTTTTTGTTATTTTAACGTCCAAGGGAGACTCAAAACTTTGCGTTTATTTACACCAAAGGTTCAATACATTCCGAAGATTTATTTTTATAAGCGATACCCCAAACGGTATCCCAAAAACCCTACACCGACGCGTAATTCCTCCGAGGACGTATACTGAAGTTTGTGGTATTTTTCCTTTGGTGACAGTCAGTTCGACGGACTCTTTATAATACAACTAGCTGTGCCCCGCGGTGTTACCTGCGGTAAAAAGTAGCCTATGTGTTAATCCAGGGTGTCAGCTAACTCCATACCAGTTTTATTAAAATCTCTCTAGCCATTTAGACGTGAAGAAGTAACAAACATACACACTCACAAACTTTCGCCTTTATAATATTAGTGTACTAGTGTGATGAAAATTATACGTTTACTTTTCCGATGAACTGTCTCAAATGATGACGCTCTTCTAGCTATGTGGAATTAAAGAACGTGCTTTAACTCACATCTAAAATGACAGACAGTGCGCGACTGAGTTCGTTGCGGCGCTTCTTCTCAGCACTTGCCAAATGTTGGTCTCGAAGCGCTGGTCGGTTAAAAAGATTCGAGACATGTAGAGGTTCCTTAAGTGCAAAATATTTGACGATTTGTAAGTACTAATAATAGTCTAAACAAATAAAGCAATTTTGACTTTGACTTTGACTTTGAAATAGTAACCGGTTGGTAGAGGCTTCCATCCAGCGCCTAGCTGCCACCATTACAAGGTTGTCGGTTCACTTTGTGGGTAGACGTCGTACGCTGCGCTTTCCGGAACGTGGTCTCTACTCCAGCCAGAACCTTGCTTCTCCATCGGCCATTAGATTTACGTACTATGTGCCCTGCCCATTGCCACTCCGTTGCCACTTCAACTTGCTAATCCGTAGCTACCAACCGGTCAGAATGAAAATCATTGGGAGAGACCTATGTGCAGCTGTGGACGTCCTGTGGCTGACATGATGATGATGATGATGAAAATAGTAACAGTATATTGTGTCGATGCCATCAACTAGTCGTTGTCTAACAGATTAATCGTGAAATTCAGAAATGAAAATTAAGTTTTTCTGTTGTTATTCAAGAGGTACTGAAAGAAAGAAATAAAAATACAATCTTAACAAAGAAATAGGTACAAGTACTTACCTTGATGCAATAAAATACGAGAGGAAAGAATAGGTTGACAGAAAATTTTACATTTTGCGTTTTTATAAGCCTTCAATCAAAAGAAAAAAGAAACCGGTAGTATAATGAACAAGTAAAACAATTCAGGAATTTGGTATAAAAAAATATCTGTATTTGATTGTCTAAATAAAAAACTGCATGGAGCCATAAATTTTTATGGCTTAAATCTGTCTGTCTATGGCATCCACATTTATTTACAAGCGCTTTATACTAGAGTTGAGGATAGACGCAATAAACTCAAAATAAAGTATGTAATAAATAATTTACATAATGTTAATGCTAATAATAAGGCCGTGAGGGGTTGTTCTCACGGCAATCCAATTTGGGATTCTGCAGTAATGTATGATCCCGCAAAACTGGACTCTCGTGTCGTGTATGAAGTTATGAACACATAGGTGTGTTTGAAATTCAAAATACAAATTTCAATGTATCGGTTTTTGCGGGATACTGCAAACGGGATGTTCGTGTGACCGTTAATATTAAACTATGTATACTAAACGGGGTCCAGCAAAAAACAGTTCCCGCAAAACGTGGGATACCTCCGTGGGAACAAGCTCTAACTCTTAATACGAATTCGCGTACACCTACTCAAAAAGTATAACGCCATTAATCTTTATTCCCTTTAAGAATCGCAAACGCCCGTATACCTGAATTAATGACTTACATAAACTTCCAAAGAACGCTCAGCTCCGCTCTCGTACCACCAATTTAATCTCAAACAGAGGAATAAAACTAATTTGTACCGGAACAAAGTACAGCCCACCGCAAAACGCAGATGGATCTTTAAAACGGTGTGGTAAGAGTTAAAATTGGATGTGCTGTTATGCGGCTTTACCAGCATTAGAAGGACCATTCTCTATTAAGTTTTGCTGTGAAACTTTTTCCATTTTAGTCATTAGGCGGCTCGTGGAGAGCTCGGCCAGTGATAATAAAACAGAATTGTTTGCATACTGAAGCTGCGCGATAAATTGACAAAAACATAGCACTTTTGTAGAGCCAAATTGATACAATTGCCGTTTTAATAGTCTTTTAGTATGAAAGCCATAGATTTGTGGATGCAAATCTCATTTATTAATACAATTTACAAACATAAACCATAGGTAGAGCTACCGGGTACATAGTGTAAAGAGGCTATAGAACTTTTTGATCTCCTAAATATTAGTTTCATGTACTTATCATCTAATATTATAATGCCTTTAACTGATTAATCCTTAATTAATAAAATCATGTTAGTTTTTCAACGAAATAGCTAAGTTCGTTCCGAATTCAATATTATTTGCTAAAGTTCGTACATAAAATAGAACATTCAAGTTACTACCTACTTCGAAAGTAGGTAATACTCCGAAATCGAATAGGTAATTGACGGCCGTTGCAAATATGTAGCACGGTAAAAGGAAGAGCTATTGTTTTCCAAAACAGACTCGTTAATTGAAATTCAAACATAACGAAAACGCTTGTTTGCACTCAACAAAATTGTTCAAGCGTTCTGCAATTATAAAATGTTTCCTGGAAACCAACCTCATAAAGCTTGCCGAAGCATAATTGACTTGAAACGCGTTAAACAGCTCGCAAACTGACTAGTTTAAGTTGAAGTGGAAGTTGAAGTCGGCTTCAACTTTAATTGCAGGCCACTTGTGAGACAGGTGCCTGTGATGCTTCCAGCAAATAACTTGCGTTCTTTGAGGGGTTGTGCGCGTTAAAATGTGTCTTGCCTGTGATAAAGTGTACTTACCTATGTAAATATTACAATCTGAGTTAAAGACCCATTTTCTTCTCTCTAGTGCAGTTTTTTCCAGTTTTGTAATTAGGTTTGGTTTTTCTAGTTTAGTCGTTAATAGGTATGTACCTTGAAAAAATATGCTGATTCAGTCAAAAGCTAAAGAAAGTTAGTTACTATAATAAATGTTCATCATTACTTAAGGATAACGTCAATAATTCCGAGAGGTCATTTTATTCAATTGGTCTTTCAGAAGTACGTAAAGTATACCTACTTACTTCTATTTTCCTTTGACCAGACAAGAATGGGTATTACGTAATCTTCCCACTTCCCCAAACCGTTGCAAAAAAAGCAAAATAAATCTCCGTTTTAGAACCGCACAAGTTTGAAGCGCCGCGTGTAAAACATGGCCGCGGCGAAACTTTTTGTTTTGGACACATTTTTCTTCCCGCATCTTGATAACTCTTTTAGCCACGCCATGATTTAGTGCGTTGGGTTTCTTTTGAGATAGAGGGCGTGGGGAGAACAGCCAAATCACTTTCTGATTGTCGCTGGGGAATCTGCAGATGTGAACTTTGATAAAAAATGCAATCTCCTTTTTTAGCCTAGGAAGATTCACGCTCGTATTCACAAACGATGCTTGCTTAAGTGAAGCAGCAAATCGAACGCACAGCGTTGAATAGAGCTCTGTGATTGGTTCGTGTGTCACCCTGTGCGTCCACGCCCACTGTGAGACGTCATCGTAATGTTTGTGAATACGGGCGTTAGTATCCTTAGGCTGAGTTGCACCACCTAACTTTGACCGTAACTTTCAGGAGAACCGGTGTTTTTTGTAGGAGTTTGACAGATTTTTGACGTTAGTCAAAGTTAAAGTAATATGGTGCAACCCAGGCTTAGTGTCATTTTATTTGTATTCCAGCGTATGTTAACTGCTGAACATGGGAGAGTAAATCAAAATTATTGTTTACATAACACTTCATCGGTCACTCGATCGAGCCACTCTACTCGAGAGCTGTTCTATCACAGCCATTGATTTTATATTTTTAATTTGATTTAGCGATATATTTTGTTAATACCGCTTATCGCTTGGTAATCTGCTAGTTTTACTGCTGTTAGTAAATGTAGAGCGACTACTATGAATCTAATTTGTCTGATAGCTAGATAGAGGTCAAGCCAAAGTGACTTATGCCCGTTTTCACCATCAATCCCCAATTTTTAAGTGACCCCTATGGTAACTCATAACAGGAATTTTGTTTTCATAGGGGTCACTTAAAAATTAGAGATTAATGGTGAAAACGGGCATTACGGTCGCAGTTTAAGAACCATTTCTCCTCTTAAGGTATATTAAACTCTGAAATTAGCTGAATTTAAGCAGATTTTGTCAGATAGAAACAGAATAAAATGTAGTTTTATTAGTATCACTGACCAAGTTGCAAAATTTCAGAAACGTCATGGCTGATGAAGATTCCCGCCAATATGACCTAGCTTTTTTCTTTGCACGTTCTTCAGATAGAACGCGTTCTCAGCAGCCATTTGTAAAAATGGCGTCCATCCGTCCCCATTTGGTGGGTAGTGGGGAGTGTGGTACCTAATAAAGATGCTAAATTGGCATCCTGTTTCAAAATGCTCAGTGAACAATGTGGGCTGAAGAATGATTGGGCTTTTACTCTAAATTGGCGAATACATTGAGAGGTCTATAAACATTAACAGGGGTTAAATAGGCATGTTCTTTGACCGAAAATATGGGTATTGGATACACCATTAAAGTAAAATTTTAGTGTGATGAATACAGTGGTTTGGTATAGCCATACCACATAATTGTTTTGAGTAAGTTGTAGTGTTAGGGCATATAGAGCTTCAAAACTTGGCTCTATCTCAGTTATCAGATCTCAGGTAGACTAC